TTTTTTTTTTAAAGTTCACTGATGTAAAGCCAAAAAAAAACATTAGAAACAGTGTTGTTGTTCTTCAACTCTGCATGCAATTTGAGGCAAGGTGATCACCACCTCAGGCAGAAAATGAAGATTCTGTGGCTTTGTTTCTTTTTCTTGCTCTCTCTCTCTCTCTCTCTCTCTCGTTCATTCTTCTGTTCCTGTCAGTTGTAGTCTCTGTATGTGTCTACCTCCATCTGTTCCCTGTCTCTCCATATCACTTCCTTTCTTATACCTCCTACCTTACTTTTCCCCTCTGTTGGGTTTCTCCTCTCTATCCTTCTTTTAATGTGTTGCGGTGCGGTAATCGCTGAGAGCTGTGTCATTGCACTCAGCAGCTCTGATGTCTCTCACTTGCGTGTCTCCTTGTTCCTCGATCGACTCGTGACGGTAAACTCTAAGTAACTTGACGTGGCTTCAAACCTGCTTCCTCTGGAGACTTGTTACATCACACAAACTGTTATTTTCAACTGTCTCTATGTGGTCGCATGTGTCGGTTGCATTGTTTTTGAATATAAAAAAAAGGAAAATTATCAGCATGGTTCTTGACCTTGTGACCTCTCTCTCAAAATCACGGCATGGACTATTAGAAAATTGTCAGTTTCAAAGCACTTATTGGTTTCTCTCTCTCTCTCTCTTACCTCAGCGTGGAGCCAGGCTGGCAGAGGGTGGGTCAGGTGGAGCTGGAGGGGGACGGTGTCGGAAGTACGGTAGGCAGCAGGTCCATTTCCTGGGCAGTGGAATACCCGGGCATCAGGGCCGGCAACGAGGAAACTGAGACGCACATCCACCTGGCACAGAAAGACCTAGTTGGCATCGTGCCACTGGCTATGGTGAGAACATCGTCCTTTCTGCTGTCTCTCAGGGAGGCGCTGAGTCTCTTCTGGGAGTTCTGGGACGGACAGATAAAAGAGGCAGGCGGTCATGCTTTTTAGGCGCCTTTGATATAATGTAAAATGAACCGTCTGGATTGTGTCATGACCATTTTTCGGTTTAGCATAATTTCATGTTTTAAAAAGCAATGGTCCAGTAAAAATCTTGAAGACACGAGTGACCAGAATTAAATATTTAAAATTACAACTAAAGAGTTAATGTACTAATATGTACACTTTAGGGGTAAACAAGCTACAAATTTGTGCCTTTTGAAAGGGTAGCGCCCCTGTACTTTTTTTCCTGTGAGTGTAGATTTTAACTTAATATTCATTCATTTAATTTTTTTTTGGCAAATAAAAATAGGTATGAACACTTGTCATGTGATAAATGAATTAGATTTTTTGACTGGTACTTGATTAATCAGAAAATTAAACTTTAATAAAATACATGTAATTGCATGTTTTTAGGTGGTCTAATTTTTTATGTTGGTTGATTAAATGCATTTAGTTTTAAATCTAAATTAGCCATAATTAAAAAATAATTTACAGGAACTAAGGCTCTTAAATCACATCTGTCTTTAAGTTCGCATTTAATAACTCACCAAAACCTAATAACCGTTGTGATTCAAAAAACATTCATCTCTTATAATCATGATCAATCAGAACAATCAGTGCAGATGGAAATATTTTTAAGGAAAGCTTGCAGGAAGGAAATGTGTGTATTGATGTGATACTTTATTATTTTTCTATGATTAAGAACACCATGCAGCCTTGACTGTGCAGAAGAGTATTCAGAAGTGCTCTGCTATTTCTTCAGATATGTGCTATTGAGGAATTCCAGAATAATTAAATTTCATTATTTTATTGTAATTATGCTTGAATCGAATTGGCTTGAAATAGTCCATTTTCAAAGAATGTTATTTTAAATGAGTAATTTTAAATGATTTTGTAGAGCATTTGTGTGCATGTGCATGTGTGTGAGCGCGAGCGCGTATGTGTGTCCGTGTGTGTGTGTGTGTGTGTGTGTGTGTGTGTGTGTGTGCATGTGCGTGTGTGTACAAATGAATACACCATCAATCATTACCTCATTTCTTGTGCAATAATTATTCATCATAAGGAAAAATCAATGTAAATAAGCAGTCTCCAGCTGGGATCTACACAAACATCAACGGGTCTGTTAATTAGCATGTCAATATAATAAATATATAGCAATTAGATACATCACTGAAACTCTCACTTAAAGGTTAAGAGGGCTGAAATGTTAAAATGTTTACATTTGTCTAAATACAGCAGATCAATTTCCATCTATCTTGACGAGTACTTCTTACATTTCTGAAATCAATAATGCTTATTGTCCATTTGCCCATGCAATAACGGAATCAATTTGCTGCAGTCACTTCATTCTTTATGAATTCTCAACGATATGTTCTCTGTCTCCAATAGTTTTCCATAAGGTTGCATAATAATTTAACATCATCTAAGTAATCAACACCTCATTTATAGGTAATCCAACATATGATGCCTCAACATATTTGCATTTTTGATGAGGTATTAGTGAAATACAACACCTGTGATGGTATTAATTAATCACCCTCCTGTGCCCTCTCATCTGAGACCCTGTTTGGCCATCTGAGGGACTTCAAAAGTCTTCAACAGCTGGGATTCAATGCTCTAGTGCTTGCTGTCACACTTCACTGTCCCCTCACTAATCATTTGGCAGAGCTTTTGACTCTGCTATACAAGGTTCCTGTGCCACTTGCTGCTTGTTGGTTCACCCTGTAATTGTCTGGCACGTGGTTGTGGTATTTGAGGTCTAACGGGAGAGTTTTGGCGAGTATGAGACTCTTGCTCCAGACTCTTTAGGGCAGAGTGAGTGGTTTGGCTATCGCTTAGCTCCAGACGAGGTCTCAAGTGGAGGAGCTCAGGGAGTCATGCATGACCAGGCAGAAGGATTTCTCTAAATTTTTGTGTTTTGGATGCTGAAGAGGCACCCGTTCTCTGTTTGCTGGTTTTCATGTGCTAAATCGCTGGAGTTGAGCTGAGGTCTTGACGGTAACATTTTATATGTAAATAGGCTTCTAGGACTGTTCAATTACAGATGTTATTCAGATTATTTTAAGATGTAATTACATAATATGTTTATTATTTAATCACATTATTTGCATATATCAGTAATTGCTGATAAAAGCCCCCAGATTTTAGCAGGAGACAAAATGATGCATTACAGACTTAACTTTACTTGTACTAGTTAAGTTGTATAACTTGTTAATTTGTGCTAATCTTGACATAATGCATTATAATTTTATATAATTGTAAAAAAAAATTAAGGAAATTAATACATTTATTAAGCAAGAATGCATTAAATTGATTAAAAGTCACTTTTAAATTGTTTTACAGATTTTAATGGCTGAGAAACACTGGTCCTGAAGGTGGGAAATTTACATATCATGGAATTTTGTCTGGTTTAAATAACATGGTGTTAAGTGTTAATGTGTGTAAATCTTGTTAATGCAGTACTTTTTATGCATTTAGTGTACTAAATTAGCAAGTAAATTAGTTAACAGTCCTAACTCCTAGGCCTGGGTTGACATTATCAATTCATCAATTTTAAACAATCTTCATTTTGATGAACCAATATGATTTTTATATCTCAAGATAATTTTTTAGTCCGTGCTGTTTTCTGTTGATGCATGAACAAAACTTCACTAAACATTGCTTGTAGAGCACCTGCTATCCAGAAATTGCAGTAAGCTTTGTGTTGTTACTTTTGCTAGAAAACAAAGTCTGGACTACTCAAATTTAATCATGAAATTCAAATAATACATGTTGTATTGATGCTCTTTAATGTGGTGTCAAAAACACATATATACCTAATGTATATACTTATTATCTAATTCAAAGCAAAGCTAAACATTTGAGTTTAAAAGGTGTTGTAGTTGGATGACTTCCAGCCGTTACCTCTGCCTCTCAGGCAAACATCTAATTAAACTCCACTCCACGTCCTTCCATAGGTTTTCAATCCTTTGATAAATGCTGTTCTTTTGCTGTTCATTTCATGAATCAACACATTAAAGAGGAAATTGGAAGAGGTGTTAGTGAGGCCAGCAGGGGGTGCTCACCCTTTGGTCTGTGTGGGTCCTAACACCCCAGTATAGTGACGGAGACACTATACTGTCAAAAAGCACCGTCTTTCGGATGAGATGTTAAACCGAGGTCCTGACTCTCTAAGGTCATTAAAAATCCCATGGCACTTCTCGTAAAGGGTAGGGGTGTAACCCTGGTGTCCTGGCCAAAATTGCCCCCCTGGCCTTTGTCAATCATGGCCTCCTAATAATCCCCAACCACTTGATTGGCTCTATGACTCTCTCTCCTCTCCACCTGTAGCTGGTGTGTGGTGAGTGCACTGGAGCCGTTGTCCTGTGGCTGCCGTCGCATCATCCAAGCGGATGCTGCTCACTGGTGGTGGTTGAGGAGAGACCCCCCACATGATTGTAAAGCGCTTTGGGTGTACAACAATACACAATGAAGCTCTATATAAATGCATCACTCATTCATTCAAATCAGACTCTACTCACTACTCAGACAGGGCTGCTTTTCCTGCTGAACATTGCTTTAGCTATCAACTGTCAATAATACTAAACATTATATCCACAGATATTTCTTCATTTGATAATCCAGATTTGACTTTTCTCACTTTTCTTAAAAGGGTGTCTGTTTGGGGTAGTAAATTCGCTGTCTAACACTCCCTCCAGGTTCCTGGCTGATGGCATTAGTGTTGTCAAATCTAACTGTGTAGTGATGTTGAGGTCAGTCGATATAGTCTGGCTGATGATGAAGAGTTCGGTCTTTGCAAGATCATCTGGAGATTGCGTTCTCAGGAAATGTTTTTCTGCAGAGATGGTGAGGAAGCAGTAGAAACTGTTTAAGTGGGCTCAGTGACCAAAACCGTATATAATGATATTAATATGATATACATTTTTTTATGTATTTATTCATTCTTGTTATTGAATAATTTATAGGGAATTCTCGGTAAAGCTAAAAAGTACTTTATACATGAAATATCTCATTTAATTATTTTCTGTTTGTATTTGAAACTTTTTTAATCCAAAAGATGATTTGTCATAAGAGCATCAGCGTAGAAACAATTTATAACATTTGAGTTAAAAACAAAAGACTCAAAAGAAATCTTTAGATTTTGAGAATCTGTCTATCTATCTATCTATCTATCTGGATCTACATTCCTATCAAGCTTGACTTGATTGTGATTTGCATTTATCTCAACCTATCATTTTCCTCTAATTTTTGAGGAAGATCATATGTTGATCCATTAGCTTGTCCCACCTGCAAAATCACTGCCCACGTTAAGCTGTCCTCTGACGTAGGCCAGTGTCTTGACATTGAAGGACCTGTACTTTCTGAGTGATTGTGTAATAAGAATAAACCTGTTCTTCACTCCAGTGAATCATTTAATCATTAAAGTCCTGGATACACATCATCAGAAATCTGGCCGCCGGTAGCAGTAATTCATTTCAAACAGCTCCAGGCGAAAACTACAGAGGGGAACATGGGATCCAAAAGCCATTGTACTGAGAGAGTCACCTCAGCTAAAATGCTAATCCACTCATGGGCCAGTGTGGGAGTTTCCCCCTGAGCCAAGCGCTCCGGCGGTCGGATGTCATATGAGGAGCGGTGATGTACTGCTACCGACCTTTCCTCAGACGTGCTTCCTGAAGGAGGTTATGAGCCCCCCTGTAGGAGCTGATCTTTGGAGCCCGATGACAAGAATTAAGCGGAGCGTGAAGAGCCCGGCACAGCGAGACAGCGCGATACCGCCACGGCTCAAGTGAGTCCCACACCGAGGGTCACTGTAATCTCGATTAATCACCTCCAACAGATGGCCTCCACCGAGAGAGATAGAGAGAGAGAGAGAGAGAGAGAAAGAGAGAGCTCAAGGCTGTGTT